GCAAAAATTACTTATTACGTCAGTAATAACTTTTCACCTACTTGCACGAACTGTCATAGGACCCTACCTATACAACAACAATTATCATATAACCTTGTCTACGTCAAAAGCATTAGCCCTCACAAGCCACCATACACCATACAATGCATTAAATGCACAGACTGCATACATCGTGTCATCCGACAGTACCCCAACCTTGAATTGCCTATAGACGCATTTCCTAAACCACCCGGCATAAGCAGCCTTTCCGAACAAAAAACATTCGCTCCTTAAAACAATTTCACGAACACTACTATAACTGTTTACACACAGCCATAAAGTGTATAGCAGAGATAAGAGGCATCTTTGAGAAATACACTAACAAAAACGCTCATTCACAAACACATTACACCACTAGTCATCATCACGCAAAAAGCACTGACGTCCGAGATAAAAATACAACAATACTCAGCGAGCTACTCAAATATAATACTAATGATCCTTCAGACACGTTCCCACGAGTGGCACCACTCCTGCTCCGTAGAAATAATACCTCCCCAACCACACTAATAAACATTTTTAACCAAATAGAGAATTGGGAATGTTCTAAGCTTTTCAACAAAGTTGCTGTCAACGCAAGACAAAAATTTTAATAACAACAACTCTTCCAGCTAATACTAGTAAAATGCTGTTACCCAGAGTATTTTTCATCAGTCTACTAACTACTGTTATATGCCAAAACTAGCCAACTACAAAACAATATGATAGTCAACCTAGAATCGCTTTTGAAAAAGGACCTAACATACGATTTATTCAAGAAAAATGGAATATTATCACCGCTCTTGACGTCAACTCAGTACTTAACTCACATTACAACTTCACCCAAATACTAGAAAAAATATCTACAGCTTGCAAGACAATCGAGATTAACGATTTTATTAAAAATTCTATATACACAGCCTACGAAGAAACAAAAAAACTTGAACATGTCAACGAAGAAACCAGCACCTCTCTCAACGCATAAGCTTTTGATACACCCAACGGGGGGTAGGATGCCCTAGAATCGCCAGACAGACTCTTACTCGAACATGCAGATAAGGCCCTTGAAGATGTTTTGTATATGCGCGAGAGGAATCTAACCGAACACATGAGCGAGTATGACTTATCTTATATCACCGAAAATAATTTACAATCAGAAACAAGTCTTTTGCTTTTTAGAAAAGCTGGCGCAGAATTCATTACAAGAGCAATGAGCTCAGTATATAATTCTACACACATTAGCCTTATTTTAACCGAAATTAACGACATGTTACATAAATTTATTTACATATCAAATGAAGTACGTCAACTCTTGCAAAACAAACAATTTTCTTTCAATCCGCAATTTTTGCTAAATGCACTAAAAACTATCAGGGCAATTACTAATTCAAGGTAACCAATACATATGTCAAAAATTAATATCATAACACTACAATAAATTGCAGAAGTTAATGTAGTTTACTTTCGTAAGAACATTATTGTCAAAGTAAATTTCCCTTTGTCGCAAGTAGCAATACGCAGAGTTTCAAATTATATTCACTACCAGTATTTCAGTATCTTAACGAAACTAACCGACTCGCTAAATTTATTAGACCACAAAGTGATTACCTGACTGTGACAGAAGGAGAAACTACCCATGCTTCTGTAAGCGAGAATTTCATTGATAACAAGTGTAAACGTACTTTTTCATTTTACCTATGCCCGCGCTCAACTATACGCAAATCAAACAATAACTCCTTTAAGTTTAATCTATTAACATCACCGAAAGAATAAAATCTAGTATCTTGCCAACTTAAAGCTATAGCACCGATACTGACTACTATCTTATACCGACGTTACAAAATAATGTTTTGTTATACTTAGTGACTCTCAATACTTCTTTTGATGTAAATTGTAACGGCGTAATACAGCCTATGTTCTTTAGTGGCACTGAGATAATACAGATTCCCCAGTTGTGCGAACTTAGAACGGACTATCATATTTATTTGGGAGATAAGAAAAAACTAAGGGCAGAAAATTTTGTGATTCCGAAAGTTTCACTGTTATCTACAAACGAAATAATAATATAAAGCTCAAAAATAAATAATAATCAGAACAAATACGAATACTAGGACCGTGTGAAACTATTACACGCATATTTAGCATTAGGAGTAACCATCATAATCGTTATTGCATCCGTAATAGCAGTAGGTTACATACTCTGCGCATATAGAGTGTGCAGTAACAAAGGTTATAAGCTCGAAAATATACCGATGCAAGAGTTGAATCAGCCTTTAAACCCTCAAATAAGAAACGTTACTTGACGGAAAATATTTTATGCCACCAATCAACTACGACACTCCTCACTCCCCACCCATAGCCGTACAAGTAATCTAACTCCTAGAATCCGAAAGAAAAGACACTTCACCACTACTCTCCACTTTGTAAAAAAAAGAGAAAGGTTAAAGAACTAAACATACCTTCTGTCAAATATCAGTCATTAGCACAATGAAGCGCACCGCAACTACAGCACTCAGCCCACCGCATAAACAGGCAAAAAGAGCCTGGACACCAGAAAAAATCCTAATGGCCCGGGAATCATCAACTATTATGGACAGGCTTCCGCAGCGATGGGAGAACAGGGAGACACAGATTACAATGGAGCATCCCGAAATCCCACAGTTCGATGATGAGGAAGGCTGGAGCTACCACCAGCTGACGGACAACATATTTAAGGAAGCCCATCACGGCCACTTACACCTACGGTTTCTTTTCGAAGAAACCTACGGAGATAAGGGATTCAGGCGAGCCCTGTACTATCCGTGTCACCTCTGCGGACAGGACACCGCACACTAGCAAGGATGTTTTTATTGCCAAGTGCGTGTAGCATCCGCACCAATGAACCTACAACTAGCCATGAAGGCCGAGTGCATAAGATCCGAACACTTTATGCTCCATAATGCTCCTTGCGCCAAATGTATCGGCCAGGAGGTTTTGTCTAGGTTCCAGCACAACCTGCAAGTTCACCACTTAGAATTATTGTAATCCTCTCCCTACTCCTTACTTTTCTTATTAATAATATAAAAAAAAACAAACAAAACAAACAGAACAAAAAAAAACAATAAATAAAAAATTAAAAAAAAAGAGATAATAAAAACACAAAAAAAACTATTACAGCAGCGCTCAGAGAGCTCTAGTCCCTTGTCTTATTAGCAAAGGACTCCGAGAGGCGGGTATGTCACGTCGATACTAAGAGAACGCACGTGACAAGCCATGGTAACTAATCAGGTGTCACGAGGACGCACGTGACGGACTATGGTAACTAATCGGGTACCGGTAATTTCACTTCCTATTATACCAATTGTCAACTTTCCTGGTAAGATTTGTAAATCCATCTAGCGAGATGAATTAGGCTAAGCACGTTCTCGTTATTAATTCAGCGAATATTACTCACCGCATATAAATTTGGCAAAAAGAAAGGGAAGGGGTACGTCAGCCTGGAGGCTGGATCAGGATCCGCGAATAGGTAGTAGTAATTCAGTAATTCAGTATTATAGTACTGTTATTGTATTATTTCTAAGTTTCGCTACCCGGTTACTAGGAACCGGAATTTGCTCTGCTAAGCATTATAAACTTGTCTTTTCAAATAATAAATCTTAATCAAGTGCAAACACCTGAGACACTTTCATAAAATCTCCTCTGAAGTCCGGTCCTAACAAGGTAAGAAATTTAGTTATCTACCTAAACACACCACATATAATAAAGGCGTTATCCCTTTAACCAACCTCTGCTTACGTCCTGACTAAAATCCAACCTTTACCAACGCGATAGTATTTTAAATATTATTGCGTCTAGCCATAACACTTCCTCGTCTAGGTATAACACGACTGTTATTTTGTATTCGCGCCGAGCGTTAGATTTCGCGGTACAATTTTGAATTCTCTCTCTCTCTCTATCTCTCTCTTTTCCCCTATTATTGTAACAAATAGTTAATCCTATTCGCGTGCGAAAGTCTTTCGACCCATCAAAGACTGTAATTTTCTAGTCATAAACGATATTAATTTTATTCGCCGCATTACGTTATTTCTTTTCCTATTAGTTTAACGGATCTATCACCGGTTCAATTTAAAACTAATTTCATCTAGGGCATTAGTTCGAATAAACATTAGGTCACTTACACGTAAAATAGATCGAGTATCACAAGTCAGGTGACTTAAGGTAAATTCAACTCGGTTAGAAAGAAGACATCGGAACAAAAGTATCAAACGTAAAGGCGAATACACGTTTACTCATATGTGTTTAACGGAGCGACGGTTAGCTCTTCATCGTGGGAATTTGTTCTTTAGTAAACCCTGTTTGTTCTAGCTGATTCACCCTATTACAAGGGTTTTATAAGAGGTACGTATTTGTAAAACAGTTATGATAAACAGGTACATTCATTAATAAATGTAAATCTAAAATGTATAATATTGAGTTCTATTGATTTAACATCAAGATAAATTTGTAATTTATATGTATTAATTAATATGTTTCTCACTATTCTTCAAAATATTGATTCTCATTTTTGTTTTCAAAATATACGCTTCCTATAAATATTTATAGAACTAGCGTGCGCACGGATGGCTACGCACCAGTCTAGTCATGTACTAGAAATCATGTCAATTTGGAAATGTCGGAATCTTTCTATAAACACCATAAACTGCCAGTCTGTTTATAGAGTAAACAATTATTATCTTTTATTTGGTTTAGAAATTAAATTTATATGATCTTTTATTATCAATACTCATCGTACTTCAGACACTTAAACCAATAGACTATTTTAAAATGAGTTTTTATTTATTTATGGGTGATTTCTGCATGAAACAAATTTTAGTGTTGACATCGATCGTCCAAATTTGTTGTTTTACTATTTCAAGTATTTAGATATTGACGCACAAACAAATAGTTTAAAATTTTTCTTATTATTTAAGTGATATTTAATCTAACGCCATTAATTTTACGATTATTTAAAATTTTTTATTTTTGGGCTCTAATTTATTAGGCCTTACGAAAAACCTTAAAAATAGTAAAATCATAATTCTGTTTTCTGTTCTTGTGTAAAACACGTGGTGGTTACTAAAAAATAACAAAATTTCTAGCTTATAAGTTATAAATTTTGAGATAAATTCACAGTTATCTTGTTTTATTATAATTAGAAAAACTAAACATCTTCATTTCATTTATAATTTAGCAGCGGAAAAAAGTCGACAGGAAAATTATACTATTATTATGGCTCAAAGTAAATTGAATGATTTAGCTAATAAATTTAGCAAAGGTCCAGCAAGATTAAATTTCGGTTTCAAAGTTCTTACAATGGTTGGATTAACAGCTTATGGTATATCACAGTCTATGTATACTGGTTTGTAGATTACACTCTGACTTATAAGATTATTACTTTAGACTTGTGTATTAAATTATTTTTACCAATTTATTAAGAAAAATGTAATGTTTTATAGTGTAAATATCCTGAATTTTTTGTAGATTATTTCTCTTAAAAATAACCTTACAGAATTACTTCTGAAACTGATTATATATACTTATGTGACTAGAAATATCAAGATTATTATATTTTATAATTTAATAAGTACAATTTAAGTTTTATCTGAAGCAGAATTTTCAATTTCTATGTCTTCAGTAGGTCTTCAGTAGATTTTCTAGATCTTTAGTAGATCTTGAGTAGGTAGATTTAAATCTTGGTCTTGATCTGATGTATGGCATATACACCTAGGATCTTCAATTATTCTAATCCTAAATAGAGACGTGGTTAAGTTATAATCAGTTGATCACTATCAACTTATAGTGACTAAAGTTCGCACGTTAACCTTTTATGTTCGAAATAGTACAGTTCGAACAGGTTCGAGTAGTAGTTAGTGAAATATTACTGCCTTTTGTCAGGGTCCATTCTATATACAATTTATTTCATACTGTTATGCATTTTTTAATCTTCTCTTAAATTAGTGAAAAATATATTTTTTCATTATCTAGATTTTTGCTGAGTTTAGTTTTATAGCTGCAAAGTATATTGGGGATTCAGTATTATTATTGTACATATCATTATTGTTAATTTTTTCTAAGATAAGTTTGCAATACTTTTTTTTTCATTTCTAGGATGTGAGGGTTGACGAGATATTTATCTGACTATCTTGCAGGGTTTCAAATGCACTTAGTCAGTCTGAAATAATATTTTGATTTTTAAAGTTAGTAACAATATTAAAGGCATCACTTATATTACACATTCCACTGTACGTATCGAAGTTTTAGGATACATGTTTTGTTTTATATAGTTTCATTTTGAGCAGATAGAATCTATTTCTACATTATTCTCATTTTTATCTTTACTTCCATTTGTGTAAATCTTTGTGTTTCTCTTTGGCCTTTTTTTTTAAATCATCAATCTTGATATAAGTTTTTTAAAATAAGTTTTATTAAATTTATAGTTTTAACCACTAATTTGATAAAAATATTAATCACTTTTAACAGAATAACAAGTGCAATTTTGCAAAACTATACATTTAACTATTGTTTACATAATTTTAAGAAAAAATATAATCAATCATATATTGTTAAATGGTAGTACCAAGAGAATTTATTTTGGGAAATTTGTGATCTTTCAATTACTCTGCAGCCTCAAAACTTGGTTCTAGCGTTATGATGTTCTCAAGAGAGGAAATGAAAGACCAATTTCAATGAGGAATAAATGAATTCTTTTTGCATTTTTCAAATTGCATGGTGTATGGTTCAATGAATCTTTTATTTATTTTTCGTGAATATTAAAGCCTGTCTTAAGGGAAATATACTAATTAATATGACTTTTAAAAACTATTTTCAATAGCTTTCATAAAAATAAGTAGATTAATTTACTAGTTTTGAAGATAACTTATTATTATATAAATTACTTATTATTATAGAAATCATTTTAGTTTCTAAGTAAAAAGCATGATTATTAAATAAAAATAGTTTAAATATGAAAAGTGGCAATATAAAATGAATATAAATTATTTTATAAAGTAGATGATCGATTAATAATCTTTCGATTTTGTAACAGCTGGAATATTATTCTATCGTTTACTTGAAAAGGTAATTCACAATTTCAAAACTAATACTTTGAACTTTTTGTTTCTCAATTTATTTGTTTTATCCATTTTTTTGGTGAGTTAACTCTTATGAAAAGTATTTAATATACTATATAATTTTTCTACTGTGTGTATTTATACCATTGAATACCTTATATATGGGTGATTCCAGCAGTTTTTTAAAATTGGCTGCGCAGGGGGGTCAGCCGATCTTCTCGGCGATTTTTTCTATGATAGAGCATGTCAAAAGAAGCCTTTTGGCTATCTCAGATTTTCGTTAAAATATATATATGTCCATATATATTTTTTCAAAGTCTGAAAATCTGCCTGTTTTTGGCTATTTTTGAAAAATCGTAGCTCTGCGAGTTTTCAATATTTTTCAACGTGCGACATCTCATTTGATTCGTCTACTTTTATACTTTCAAGAAAAAAATTGTTCATTTATAAAAAGTGACAGCTACCGGGTGTACTCTGACGATATTCGTACGCTTTGTAGGGTCAATTTGATGCTCATATTCCGAGTACTGTAACTTGTTCAATTTTTAATATTTTTGAACCAACCGCGTGTCATTTTTTTTGTCTTTTTAAGACCTTTCATTTAAGATCCAGCGCATCTTAATCGATGCATTAGAACCAGAGATATAGCCGATAATAATTGGCCGTTTTTTCAAAAATAGACATTTTCAAAGGCGAAAAAAAAAAACGCATTCAATTTTTTTTCTACTTTGAGGCGGTTTTAGATAGCTCAACTCGAGTAGAACATGCTCTGGAATTTTCACGATATGACCCTTTTTCATTTTCAAATAAAACGATTTCAAAAATTGGCGATTTTGATTTTTTCAAAAAATGGTCATTTTCAAACGGCTATATCTCTAGTTTTAATGCATCGATTAAGATGCGCTGGATCTTAAATGAAAGGTCTTAAAAGGACAAAAAAAAATGACACGCGGTTGGTTCAAAAATATTAAAAATTGAACAAGTTACAGTACTCGGAATATGAGCATCAAATTGACCCTACAAAGCGTACGAATATCGTCAGAGTACACCCGGTAGCTGTCACTTTTTATAAATGAACAATTTTTTTCTTGAAAGTATAAAAGTAGACGAATCAAATGAGATGTCGCACGTTGAAGAATATTGAAAACTCGCGGAGCTACGATTTTTCAAAAATAGCCAAAAACAGGCAGATTTTCAGACTTTGAAAAAATATATATGGACATATATATATTTTAACGAAAATCTGAGATAGCCAAAAGGCTTCTTTTGACATACTCTATTATAGAAAAAATCGCCGAGAAGATCGGCTGACTCCTCTGCGCAGCCAATTTTAAAAAACTGCTGGAATCACCTATATATATAATGTATTCAAAAGTAAAATAAATATAAATGAGATTTTCATAGGCACAAGGCCCTAGAGCCATGGCTATTCTCTAGATACATGCCTAATTAATAGAATGGTTTAAGGGCACAATTGTGAGGTTCTTTATCATACTTAGACATGCAATATTCTTTTCCATAGTAATAAAATCTTAACTCTTCTAAACTCAAGATGTAAGCTAGATTTGATCAACCTTATGATATATTAATTAAATTCTCCACTATACAAAAATATTGAAGGAAAAAATGGTTGGATAAGGTGAGAGTCATGATTATGAAGTTTGCAACGTTCATCGTGAATGAAAAAATCGAAAATTTAAATATGAGGATTTGACTCCATATATTACTTTTTAAATATCAAACTAAAAATATAAAATACTATAGTCAGTAGCTTTTTCGATTCCCAACGGCTAAAAACCACCTTTAACATAGCTTACACACATCAAAGGCGAAGTCGGCTCCTATAAATATGTGTATTAAAAAACACCAAAAAATTCAGCGCTCAAAAGAATATTATGAATGAGAGAATAATACTCCCTACATGTGTAAAAAGTTTCCGGGGTCGGAACGCACCCTATTAACCCTAACACCCTTGCAAAGCATGGTATCCCATACGCGCAAAGGCGAAATCAGCTCGTTTTAATATATTTTTTCCAAAACACCCAAAAATAATTTAATCAAAATTATTTTATCATGGAGAGGAAACAATTATTTATCTGTGTGCGAAGTTGCGCGCGTTGGAACGCACCCTGTTCACCCTTGCTAAGCATGGCATCCCATGCGCGCAAAGGCGAAATCAGCTCGTTTTGATGTAATCTTTCCAAAACACCCAAAAATAATTAAATCAAAAGTATTTTATCATAGAGAGGATACAATGATCTATCTGTGGGAGAAGTTGCGCGCGTCGGAATGCACCCTGTTCGCCCTGACACCCTTGCAAAGCTTGACATCCCGTACGCGCAAAGGCGAAATTCGATCATATGAATTTGTTTATTATTAAACATTTAAAAATTAAAAACTTAAAAGTTGTTTAATTACATAAGAGTATTGAGGACTACGTGTCTATGCAGTTTTGCGCATTGGGAAGCTCTATTACTACCCTCATCATCCCGTGATGTAAAATTTCATTAACGGCGAGCATCGGAAAAGAGCGAATTTAACATCGTTCCTTCGTAAATATTCAGAAATCAAGAGCTTACCAGTGGTTTATTTATTAAAGGGTATTAAGGACCTCACGTGTCTAGTTTCCGTCGTTGATAAATAATTTCTGCCAATTCCTACACATTGATGTGGAACTATCCGATTGTCCTCAAGTTCTCTCTGCATTTATCAGGGCATGAGACCTGCTCGTTTCATTTTGAATATTATGAAGCGTGGCTGCATTAAAACTTGTTTCTGTTTTCTAACAGTACTAGTGTCGTCATTGAGCGCTCATTTCTCGTTTGTATTCATATTGGATTTCATGCTAAGCTCAAACTTAATAACGGTCAACATTAATTCGACAATAAAAATTCAATTACGTTGACATTCGCAGATTTTATTATTATTTTAATCCGACTATCGTAGCAGATCTTTCTTAGGTGTTTGTTAAACTATATAGATAACAGGGAGCGCATTAAGTTCGTTTCACCTTCCGCGTCTAAATAAAACTAATGATTTTGTTTAAAAAAAAAATGTAATTCATTTTAACGGATTTTGGCTCGTTTGAAGCAGTACTTTTCGCAAACTATATTTCAAAATGTTAATTTCGGCAATATAACCGTCATTTTCGACCGATTTATTCATCAAAATTTTTGTTATTTTTCTATGTTTAAGTTTAATTTTAACAATTTTTTTGAATAAATTACTGAACCAGATGAGCCGATTAGTTTATTCACAGTATTTTATTCTATGAAAAAATCTATCGATT